ATTCACAAATCCTATCCAAATTTATTTCCTTCAACAACTCAACTTGATGACTCTTCTAGTTCCATGGTGAAAAGTCCAATTCATCATATATGGCTCACGTGATAGTCGAACTATTGCATGGGAAGTCCAGTGACCCGCATATGGCTCACACGGCAGTCAAACTATTGAATGGAAAATCCAGTGACCCATATACGGCTCACGCGACAGTGAAACTATTGTGACTTCATCGATGATAAATTTCTTTCGAATAAAAAACGGTGGCAACTCATTTCCAATGATGTTCGTCGATCGCATAAATTGTTATTTGTCGCGGAATATTTCACCGTGTAATTGAAATTTGTATCTTCATCCAACAGTAAACACCGTATATTTTGTTCGCGTTCGAAATTTGAATATAAATCGAATTTAAATATTTGAAATTCTAATTAAGAAGAAGTTAGGCGCGATCGAGCGATCGTTCGCGAAGTTCTGACGAAGATATCAGGCCAGGAAGCGGACGAGGAAAATAAAACGAGACGCCGGGGAGCATCGACGGTGACAATAATTTAATCCCGCTCGTCCCTCTTTCCCGCGCGTTCCTTCGTAAACCGGTTGGACCTTGTCCGTCTTCCCCGAGAAATTCGTCTGGTGGAAATCAACGACGCCAGAGGCAGAGGGTGGGGGGAGGGATTCGCCGGGTAACACGAGAGGAGATTAAATTCGAGAAGTGCCGGACGCGAATTAATCGGTCGCGGTCGGCCAAAGCACCGCCGCGGATCGCAATACGCAAATGGAAGTTTCGAAAAGTAATTCCTGTTTCTGTCCCGGCTCCCGATTGATCGATTCTCTTTTTTCACGTCCGGCACGCCGGGGTCCTTTAACGCCTCGAAAGCGCCTGGTTTTCAGTCGATTTTTTAAATTCGAATTCAATTTAGACGATTCGACTCGTGTTCCACTCGTTTTCGAGCAAATAAGAATTTTATGATACTGACTTGATCATTTTTCTGCTTGGAAAATCTGCATCGAGACTGGGAGAGTTAAACGAAATTAACCCTTTGCATTCCAATGGTATATAATGACAAACTATTTTAATGAAAATGATGAAGATATTTAAAATTACGAACATTTGTGAATTTTTCTGGGGAAGAAGGACAATTGTAATATTCTTCAATATTGTATTGCAAAATTGCATTCAAGTAGCTAGATAATTCTATTAAAATGAATTCTTGGAGTGCATAGGGCTCATATTGCGACGACGCTTCCCGAACTCACCGGCCAGAGGGCTACGCTCAACTCTTCTCTCTCACAAGTAATCGAGCGACCAGTTCTTCTTTTCTTTTGCACTATCGCTCGTTCCAAAACAGAACGTGGCCACAATATAGACAAAATACGGAATAATTTAGTGATTCTAGCGTGTCGACGAACTCGTCCAAGAGAACATTTGCGAAAATATTTTCGAAAGAACTGGAAGAAGCGTGGTCACGGAATCGCCGGATATGAAGCGTGTTTTCTTAATTGGGCGATATCTTTCGTCTGTAGGTCTTGCCCCGATTTATCGACCCTTTGGGGATTCGTTAAATAGCGTGCACATCGAGGCGTAACAACGACGCTCGAAGACGAGGACGACGGAGAGCCTCCGCATCGCGGCAAAGGTCGCGCGAATTGTAAATCGGCGCCATAAATCGAGAAGCTCTTGGAGAGAAGACGGAGAAACGGGCAGAGGGAATGGGGGAATAAAGAGACGGCAAAATAGCGTTCGAGCGGCCCCGTAATCGATGGCCGCCGTTTTCGAGCCACGGCTTTGCGTTCATCTTAACGCTCTATTTGTTGCAAAGAACGCCACGAACTCCTCCGGACTCTTTATGCTACGAGCCCCGGAGATATGAGATCGATAGCGGCCAATTGGTATCCCGCGAAAGCTCCGGATTTGTTCGAGGACTGAGTGCATACATTCTTTAGGGAAAAGCAGAAAACAGCAGTTATAAACACACTGATTAGTAATAAAGAATTGGGCACATTAAAAATGGGACTGAGAAAATATTAAAATCGACACTAGACTGTGGATCTTTGTGCAAATTCACATTTTTAATAACACGTTCCGTGTACCATTTATGGTACACGTTAAACTTAAACTTCAGGCCACGTGTACCATAAATGGTACACGCAAATATATTTATCTAATGCGGAAGGTGTGAATAGAATTAATGAAATGGGAGCTTTGTAGAGGGTTGTATCAACCCCTAAATATAATAATTCGTATCTAAAGTGTTTCTTATATTTTTCATATTAAGAGCATTTTATAGTTTTTTTTTAAATTAAAATTTCCAAACACAAACCCTAGTATCTTGATGATGTGTTTGAAAAATTGGAAAGAGGTCTAAAAAATTATATTTAAATCTGTTGATTCAAATTGTTATTAAAATCTCTAATACTTGAGGATTGAAATGAATGTGGATGGGAAATTACAAGTGTTGCAAGTTTCATTGAATGAATGATGAAGCAATAATAGAAATAGATAAAAAATATAATATTACTAACAATAAGTAGAATTGTCGTTCGATGTTCTGCATATTGCACTATTTTAAAAGAAAGTAACCGATACTGAAATTGTGGCGACCATTAGAAAGGAGCTGATTGGGGATCGAGAGCGTTGAAAATCTCTCCCAAGTCTAGAATGATATATTAGAGTACGAATGTAGGACTAGTAAAAAGATGTATTAATAAATAGTATCGAAAAGGTTGGCAGTCGCTCTATTCAGCGAGAGATAAGATCGACAACAGCAATTGGCATCGAAAGGCAATTTGTTCAGAGTTCTACATACATTATTGATAAAAGAAGAAAACAGCAAGTGCCAGTGAAAGTATAGGACTGATGAGTAGAAAGGTAAAGACTAAAAAGGATCAAAAATCGTTGCATACGTTTAAAATCAGAACTTAGCTTTCCAGAAGTCTTTGGCGCGCCACTATTTTAGATAAAATAGTCAAATCGAGTGTTATTTAACCCTTAAGTGAATTATTGGGGCCCTCCACAAGTTTAAACTAATAATTGTTTAATATATGTCAATGTAGTTATTTGAAAATTAATGTAATCTACCATTAGTTCACTATTTTCCAAATGTTTTAACACGTTGGCTGCCAGACCAAACCCCTCGAATCCTCCACGAAAACAAAACATTGTTTCTAGACAATTGGAAACTAGCATAACCGTAATTTGTCATAAAACTTATTTTCAAAGTCTGGTTAAAATTCAAGTCATATTTAGATTTATTTTCTTTAACATTTAATATTGAGAATGAATCTTTTTAGCTCCTTAGTGAAAAACAATGTCACCCATATGTGGGTAACGTGGCAGTCAATGTGGCCATTTACCAATATGGCAAAAACCAAAATTAAAATAATTCACTTGAGGTCCGCTTAAGGGTTAAGATGATCCACCCTGTGTAGCTCAAGATGGATGGTCTTGATTCCTTCAAACAAGTAGAAAGCTATAAACTGAAAAGGGTTAAGAATTTTTGCATGCGTTGGAATGCAAAGCTCAGTCTTCCAGAAATCTTTGGTGCCATTTTGCGTTGGGATAGAACAGTTGAATCGAGTGTTATTTAAGGTGATTCAACCTGGATGGTCGATTCCTTCCGCCATTGTCCCCAAACGCGATTCCCCCCAGCGTTCGCCCCGTGGAATCTCCTTCTGCTTCGGAGGCGTTTACGCGATTGCCGGCGATATCGAGCGTACAGGTCACTCTCCGTCGATTATATCGATTATCGATCGGCAGGATCTCGACGGGGCTCTCTATGCCAGACCCTTAAATGGCACGGCTAGGCAGGAAGACGGGTCTTACGTGGCTTCGAACAATTAAGGTTGACTTACGCGTGGCCGAGGCGCGCACCAGCCGCGTTAAAAGAGTAAACGAGTTACTGGCCGGCATCCTTCCGCGGCCCGCAGCATCAGATAATGCAAACCGTGGCCCTGTCATCTCGGAAGAATTTACAGGCGACACCGGAGGACCAACCAGGAGTTACCGGAGCCCGCTAGCCGCGTCCTATCGCGCGCGGTGAATCTTGATTTCTGCCGCTGGCGGAGCGTGCCTTGTTCCGGCGAATAGGTTTTCCACGAAAATCGTACGCGATAAAAGGGAAACTTCTTTCGCTAATTGAAAATGGCGAAATTTATTAGGCTGGACCGTAAATAAATTCGGTTCCAATTACGAACACCTGCTTCTGAGAACTCTAGTCAGGCGATACTAATGCCTAGTTAGACCTGTACAAGTTTTTTATTTTGAAAACGGAGTCAATTGTAGGACTCTAAAATTGTTCCTTTTATTGTGTTCTTAATGTTAGATCTGAATTCCTGAATAGAAATTATTCAAATATTGTTAGTTTCTACTTGAGAGGTGCACCTGAGGCAGGATCTACTGTTGGAAGATGAGATGTTGGCATGCTACACATAAACTGAACAATGCAAGGGGAACAGGGAGTCCACAATCTTCTTAATCCCCTTCACTGTTTAGGTTGATGGCTCGACCTTAGTTTGTGATCGACTTACCCAATAATAACCAAAACTATAACAAATGGAGGGAATTAAATGGATCGTGGGGACTTTCCGCGGGGTGTTTTGTTTCGAGTGTGAAACTTCGCTATGTTTACGCGTGTCCAGGTGGCAGATGTATGCTCAAAAACAGAAGAAATTTCACCGCTGGAAACCGGTTTACGTTTCGACCGCGGGTTTTCCGCTCATAGCACATGTCGGAGGCAATGAATAGGCGCGCGAAAACGCTCAATGAGGGTGCTATATCAGCGCGCGTAAATGGAGCAGTTTGGCCAATTGCTATTGTGAAAGTAACCAACGTGCATTCAGGTGTGGTTCACTTACGGTCACGCGAGCCCATCGGGAATTACCCGTTCCCCTTTGCGGTGGCTTGCGGTGGGCAATATTTTTTTTCGAGATCTGGTCTCGATGGCACCTCCACAAAGGGAAGAAGCTGCAAGAGGCAAGAGAAGAAGAAACGAAAAATCTTCGCTTACCAGGCATGCAGACGCATCGGAACGTTCCGGGATCGTCCAGGCAGGAGCCGTCGTTCTGACAGGGATGGGACTCGCATTCGTTCACGTTCGTCTCGCATCTTGGTCCTGTGAATCCTTGCGTGCAGTTGCAGGCGAACGAGCCGGGCGTGTTCACGCAGATGCCGTCGTGCTCGCAGGGGGATCCTAGAAACAACAATTTTATTCCATTAGAAAATCATCGTTTTAAGTTAGAGACACTTGAAATGAAAATGAGCTTATTCGGAAGGACTTGGAGTTTCACAATTATTTTTTACTGTTAAGGTTTCACTGAATGGGAGATTCTAGAGGCCAAAATAAGACGAAAATCAAGAATACCAATTCGTTGATTGAGGCTTCGTTAAAAAATTATTAACGTTTAAAGTTCCATATTGACCAAAAATTTTTTCGACGAAATTAAAAAATTTCAAATTGTTCTAAAAAAATTATTTTTGGTTACAGGGGTCAATTGCAATCATTTTTGGTGAATAGACATACCACCCAAATCCTGCGCATTTTCGAGAAAAAAAATTAATTACTGAAAATATAATGTCTGACCATAACTGTCTGTTACCCTGAAAATTGAAAGGTTTCAAATCATTCTAGAAAAATTATTTTCGGTTGAGGAGGTCAATTACAAGAATTTTTGGTGAATAAACACACCCTCGAAATTCTACGCACTTTCGAGAAAAAAATTCGTGTAGGTGAACAAATTTTATTAATAATTTTTAACTATAATTTTGCTAATAACTTTGTAACGAAGTCTCTATCAACAAATTGGTATTCTTGATTTTCGTCTTATTTTGTCTTTATTTAGTGGCTGAACACCCTGTATAATCAATAGATGATCCAACAGGTGACAGTCGACATTGACTACAAAGTAATCCATGTAACACGTAATGAATGGCACATAGACACTATTGTGGACCATTGTTCAAAGTTAATACACCATAATCACGTATTTGGTGCAATTTAATCAAAATATATGCAGGCAGTTTTGAAACCAATTTGCACGATTTGTTTTTTGCAATCTTATTGTATACATGGTATTAAAAAAGCTGGAACAATGTTCGTTATGTACAAATGAGGGTACGGAAGTGGTTCAAGTGCGAGTTCAACGCACGGTAAACGTCTTCGGCTGAATTATTTCGAAATAATAGATGGAAAACATATGGTTAATGTTCGAGGCGAATATCATCGCGCGTTTGAAATAGAAAATTATGCAAATTAATAGTATCCACGGCGCAGCAGGTGCACGACAGCTTGCACATTCGAGTTTACGATGGTCGAAATAGGAGCTAGTCGTCTTCGTAATCTCGCTATAATCGCGTAGTTGAATGAAGACACGATGTCAAACATTTCAACGACACGGTTATTTACATACGAACGGTTCAACGTAGCTTAAGGTTCGTCAGTTCATTTCTATAAGAATCTGCTTGAAGATTAAACAAATTCAGAATTCAACCTTGGATCGAATACATGAAACTTCATTTTAATATTTACGCGGAAATAGTTTACAGAGTTTGGCACGTTATAGTGAAAGCGAGCACGAAAGGGAAATTATCGTATCCGATATATTCGAACGGGACAAGCTTAAGATATTGAGGTAATACGTTCGACAACCACGAACATTTTTGGGTCAAAACAAATTTCCATTCGCCCCCCTCCCTGACTGTGTCAAAAATGTTAACAGGCAATCTTTCTCGTAAACTCCGAAATCGTCGCCTACCGTATCGGGTAAAACTCTTTCGACCCAGATCGACTCTCGTAATCTCTGGTTTTTAAGTGAAAGTCGATCCACGGAAACGCCTTTTCCTGTGGAAAGTTCCCTCCACGGGGAACCGATCAATAAGGAAACAAAGTACGGTAGAACGTACCAGGGCCCTCGAGAAGGGATTGTTCGCGCGAGCGAAACTTGGCCGCGACGGGGGCCGGTATAATTAAAACTGCCCGCGAACGCGTGGCGCATAATAATTAATAGCCGTGCAAGAATCAAAGTCCAGCACGCAGGTGCATCCCCCGTGGGACGCACGACAAATACACGGTAGTGCGCCTTAATTGGCCAACTCGTCGTAGGTTTTTCGCGGCGTCGCCATTAGGGAAAGAAGGGAGAAGAAGCACGCAGAGGAGGCACGGACGACGACCATAAGAAGGAAGCTGCTGGCCACGGATTCCAAGAGTACCATTCTCCAGGCTGCTCTCTTGCCCGACGATCCATTTGGAATGGTCTATTTTCTCGGCGCTGCGCGATTCGCTCTAATTACAATACGATTATTACCGTCGGTCTATCGACATTCGCGAAACGAACGTCTCATTGAGAGTGGCTTCCCTGAAACGTCGATTTTGATATCGACAAGTTTCATTCGATTGGCAGTTTTACAAAATTTCGTACAACACGAGACAAAAATTATGGCGTGACAGGATTTTTCAATATGGAACTAGAAAAATTCATTCTCGAGTTGAAATGTTCAGGATTCCATGAATTTTAGGTTCTGTAGTTTACAATTTTCTAAAATCAAAGTTTTGGTCTCGTGAGAAATGTTAAGGTTTTAATTTAGTAATCAACGTGTCAATAATAACGTTTTGTAAGTCTTTAATTAATTAAAAGTAGTAAGGAGAGGCAAAAAGATGAAGATAACAAGAAAACAAAAACGCACTGAGATCCCTTATTAACGCGTGCAAGCGCGCGGCTAAGAACAAATGCAGCGCATGCGCACTGCAACGCAAAGTACAAAGATGGCCGCCCGCCTGGCTTTCGAATAACGAAACGTGTTAATAATAACCTTTTGCAAATTTGTATTTAACTAAAGTAGTAAGGGGACGTTTTAAGAACGTTTTGTAAATCTTCATTTAATTAAAGATACCAAGAAGAGACAAATAAGAACGCGTAGAGATACTTTATAAGCGCGTGCAACGCGAAGTATAAAGATGGCCGCCTGCGTTAGCTTTTTTGAATAATAAAACTTAACATACCGCACACATGCATATAATGAAGAACGTGAAACCTTTATAACAGAACTATATTAGATACTTTTAACATAGAATTAAAAAAACGAAGATTATTTTTAAACTCACCATCGCCGTATATATGGCTTATTTAATTTTGTTTTTTCTCGTAAAGATTTCGAATTATTCTTTCAGTGATTACGTGAACAGTCTCGATTCAGAATCGAGTTTTTCAGCGAGAATTGAACATCCTCGTTGCGTGCGCGAGGAAAGTTGGGTGTACGATGCGCTTTTATGGAAATTAGTCGGCGATTACCTTAATCAGACTTCGGCCCGCGTTCTCCAACGCTGATGGGAGAAAGTGCGTGCTAATGAACGGATGAATCTTGAGAATTGTATGGTACTACGTTTACCGTCGATCGGATCGACCAGTTTTGTATTACGTTTTACTTTCTCGGTTATTACTGAATACAACGAAAGGGAAGTACTGCGCCCCGCTGGTCGAAATTTTACCCCACACACCGTCTTCTTGCACTTCTCAATGTTTCAAAATCTTTTAATGAGAATACAGACAAAAAAATTGGTTACAAAATTCTGTAACGTACATATAGCGATATTTGATTTATATCTTATAATTTGTACAAATCATGCAATTTGGTAAGGTGACTTCTATATATGAATATTTGTTGACATTAAGGTTCTGAGAAACTTTAATGAGCTATCAAAAGCAAGAAAAATTTGTCAGTTTTAAAATCATGGAATTAAGTCGAAATACTCGAACGTAATCGATGTTTTCACGAAGGAAGAACGTTGGTCGACAAATATAATACAAGCACCTCTTTACACGCCCACTAAATGCAAGCGTCGAAGTGTTTAGAACGTATTACACCTCATCGAGCCAAGAACGGACTCCTCTAAAGGGATAAGTAGCAATCCGTTAGAAGCCTTAAATCTTTCCAAGTTGCCTCATTCTCTGGGTAACTCGTAACCTTCCGACGTGCAATCTGCTCACTAGTTTTGTTTAAATACGAAACCATGTTCTGGAGATTCTTGAGGAATAAAATTACTGTAGCAGCGACTGCAATTTTGTTTTGCTTTGGAATATAGCGAGACGAAGTTTAGTTCTATTTATAGTAAATCATTATAGTCTACAGTTCACATTTCCATTCACAAAATGGTCCTGAGAAAGTCCTGAAATTGTTGCAGATGGGCCTGATTCCACTGCAGTTAATTTTCTATGTGACTTGACTTTTCTATCAAATTAATACAATTAGTATGAAGTGCCCCAAGTGCTGTGCAGAGATCCTAAGCTCGAGTATGCTCCAAAAGGCCAAAGAGCGTGCCGTTAGGAGCTCTCAATCCTGATCCAAAGCCGATACCCCGCAGGACTCAAAATCCTGTTGCAGCCAGCAACGATCGCGTCACTTAACATACAATGTGATCCCACAGAACAAGCGAACAGAAGCTCGCGGGAGGAGCGAGACGCGAAAGTGGCAGGCTGCGGGCTCGTTACAACCGTTCCCAGGACAACGCGTACAATTACCCCGCGATATTTATGAACTTTTCTAAGGGCAACGACAGCGGCCGTTTATAAAGTGGCGTCCGCTTCTGGCCGTGGCACGCTCGCATACCGGCCTCGTGTAATTCGCCGACGGTTTTTCCGACCCCCGGGTAATTGCTGTCGCCGCGCGCGACGTTTGACCGCTGCGGAAGGAGGCGCAGAAAGAACCTAGGGAGAAAAGGCCGCAGAAGGCTGGGGAGGGGTTGTACGTGTGTTACGGAGCAGCCAGGGGCGAGCAAGAAACGCATTGCTCCGTCGTGTTCGCAATCGAGCGCCGAGGACGAACAGATGACGAATCGGTCGCCTGAGGATCTCAAGGACGACGCTTTGGGGACTCAAGACACCGACCATTCAGGGCAATTTGTGAAAAATTGTTCTAAAAAAATTATTATTAGTCCCGGGGGTCAATTAGAAACATTTTTGGTGAATACACATACCCTCGAAATCCTATGCAGACTTGAGAAAAAAATTCAAGGACAAATTTTTCGGCGAAATTAAAAAATTTCAAATCGTTCTAAAAAAATTATTATTAGTCCTGGGGGTCGATTAGAATCATTTTTGGTGAATACACATACCCCCGAAATCCTACGCGGTCTTGAGAAAAAAATTCAAGGAGGACAAATTTTTTGGCGAAATTAAAAAATTTCAAATCTATCTAAAA